TGAGAAATACAGTATTTCATTGTTTGCTACGAAAATGCCCTGCTTCCAGATCTGCAGGGGTGACTTCTGCTTTTTCTGCTTCTCCCTACTTTAACAACATCCATCTTAGCATGAGATTTGGCTTTTTGCACAGTGAAGAAAACACCATTAACTGTGAAAACAAAAAGGTGAGAAAATATTTCTGTTTAGAAAGATTACAGTGGTGAAACAGCAAAAAGGCATTTCCCATGGGAACAATTACTAACTAGATTCTGAGGAATTATTAATCAATTTGGTTTAATGTTTTTTCTGTACATGAGAATTTTTTGGAATACTGTTACTATTCCTCACAAATTGAATAATGTATTAGAATTCTGCAAGCTAGTTTCATAAAAACAGCCTCCTATCATAAATTAAATTAATAAAAGAAAATAAACATAGATTTACTTATTGAGGAACACCAGTTTTAGAAAAAACATATTTGAAAACACAGCAAGATTTAATATGTCCCTAAAAAGTTCAGTTGTTTTAGGTTTTTTTCAGTTTGCAAATCTGCTGCTTTTGTTACTCTCTGGAAAGGCAAATTGGTTATGAAAGGCTTGTGGCAACATAGTCAAAACAAATGCTTCTGAAAGATTTCAATAGCTCTTTTTCAATTTAGAAAATGTGAAAACATCTTTCAATTAGTAAAAAAAATAGGTTAATATGCAAGCACTTAAAAAAAAAAATTTGGGAAGGAATGTAGCGTAATTGTCCAGACTCATACCCATTCACTCCTCAGATACTGGTAGCTATCTCCTCCTGACACAAGCCTCTCTATATTAACCCAGAGAAATTCATACATGAGCAGTTAGCCCAAACAAAATATTCATTCAGTTTTCCCCAAATTTAAACTGTCACAAATTACCATTAGGACAGTATTAGAAAGAAATTGAAGCATACAAGGAATAAACTATATTTTCTTTTTATATCAAAATGTACTCTTGAAAATGTGTTTGGCATAGTGCTAAATCATATAGTTAATACTAAATACTGCAGGATACAATAAACCCCTGGAGTTAACTTGTGTTTACACCCTATAAGGGATAAAAATAAAAAGACACAAATTATTCAGAAGTCAGCCTATAAAAAAGGTATAAACAATATTTTATGTCTTGTTTTGAAAACCACTAATGTTGTAAATTTTACATAAAAGACTGCAAAATAATATAAATGGTTTTAAACAGATCTTTACAATAAGAAATTCAAATGGAAACAGACAAGTAACAAAGAGAAGTAAAAAAATTTATTGCAGTATTCATTCCACCAGATTTGCTGGGGATCCCTTTTCTTGTATTATTTCAGGGTGACCTAATACATCAAAATCTACATTTACAAAAACTCCTCCTGCAGATAGGTCATAGATACTGCATGCGGTTTTTTTCTTTCTTGTTTTTTTTTCTTCAACAGAAAAAAAATATATATCCAGGAGATTCTGCCATTTTACAACCTGTAAAATCGGTGCTTCCCTGGAAACTGGCTACACTAAAGAAAGCCATCCGCTGCTAGGTTAAACTCCAAGAACACTTTATTAAGAACATTAACAGACTAATTTCCAACATTCACGTGTTTATTTTTTTAACAGAAAGGTTTTTTTCAAGATATAAACAAATTTTTAAACTATAATACAGTGGGAGTAAAAATGAACTGAGAAGTTTCTGCTGCACAACAGCGAAGGAAGCTCCCACATAAATGTTTACCAAACATTTCCTTCTTTTTTTTCCTGCATCCCAGGTTCCATTCTTACTCTTCATTTAACTGATTTTTTTTTTTTTTTTGCCAGAAAGTTGATATTTCAAGTTTTTCTGTTATTTCAATTCCTGTAAATTTGGCTGCACAAACAAATTCATTAGCTGGAAGTTCCATCCTTGGCAGCATACAGCAATCGTAAATTCTGAACAACTTTATTAGTCAGCTTATTAGCACTCGTTAGAGCAATTTTTTTGTAAATAATGTCTGACTCTTTAATAGTGTCTACCCAAGGCACCAGTTTGCGGCCATCACGGCGCTTAGCCTCAGTCCAGGAGCCACTGTAGGAGCCTGCCATCCACTGAACACTGAAGCCATTGCTGGTTTTCTGTACTACTCTTGCAATTTGTGGTCGGTCTTTGTACTTTGGACAGCAAATAGCGATGACATCCATGACATCAACACTTTCATTCATCTGTGCTGCCAACTCTGTAGAGTCTGAATTTCGTTTTGACCTTCTCAATGACTAAAACATTGGGGGGGAAAAAAGACCAAGTGTTACACAAAAGAACTTTAGTGAAATTATTGCTTTTATTGCTTTTAATCCCTTGACGCCGGGAGTTGGGATTTCCCAGCACACATTCCACTGCCGGCAATGAGACGCACCGTGACCGCCAGCGCCAAGGGGTTAACATATTCTTGTAAAATCACATACTCTTAATTTGTACCCGTGTCTTTATCTCTTATTGATATATAAAATTATATATACACACGAATCATAAAGCTACATAAAAACTTGGCAACAATAAAAAGGATAACACACAGTACATTCCAAAGGAAAATTAATAAATTTTTATATGGGATAAATCTCATTTTCTAGTTTGTTTTTTTATTGTCTTTTCTGTTAAACTTTCTACAAAAGTTGTATAAATGGTTAAGTAGAGAATCTCTATCTACAAAATGCTTTCATGTGGATTACATTACTTGTTGTACATTTAATATAATAGACTGACATTTATAAGCACATAAAAATAATTTTACGTAATACGCTGCGAAATACGTTGACTCCTCCTCCGTCTCACCCCTGAAGTGCCTCCTCCTCTATCCTCCCCATCACTTTCATCATCCTCTGTCTCAGCTGCATTGTTTTTAGGGCTGCCTCCTCCAAGAAGCGAGGTAATTGCTTTGTTACGAGCATTTGTGCTAGCTGACACCTCTCCATCTTCTTCCTCTTCATCGGGATCCAGGTGTTCCATAAGGAGCTTGAACTATTAAATAAACCCCCAAGAACAGATCAGTCTACATTCAAACTTTAAAAACAGACATTCATATCACACTACACTAAATAAAAAGCAAATGAAAAGGTAAAGAAACAGTGTAAAACAAATGGCAGACAACTTCAAACTTCAACAGCTTTTGTTCTACAAACATTTTACTTTCATTTTCTAGTAGATATGTAAAAGCTTTCTTCCTGTGTTTCCAGAAATGCAAGCTTTCTGTAATTAATATTTTAAAGAATTGGGGAAAAAAAAAGAGTAAATACACTAAATCTAGTCTCTGTTCTTATGATGGAAACACGGATAAAGGAAACAAGTTATATGGTAGAGGTATACAAGATGGATACAAGAAATTAGAAAATACTCTGGAAAGATGAATATATTTCAGTTGAAATTAATTTTTATTGTGTTTAAATTTATTAGAATACTTTGAAAGATAATCCTGCTAAACATCCAGAAAGGAAATTGTGAGTTATCAGTATATCACATAAGATTACCAGAAACTTAACAGTTTGAAATGTTCATCCAATACATCAGCATCTACTTTCAAGTTTATACTGTGTTACCTAATTAGAAAGAATTTCAGATTTTCTGCAAAGCAACTTTACTTACATCTAAGTACTGTTTTACTATACTCCTCTTCACTTCTTCAGTGATCTTGGAATTAGCCATATCACTCCGCAGAAAATCCAGAGTTTGTTTTGGATGGAAATACACTCCTGTCTTCCTGTTTATTGCTTTATCGTAAACTTTCGCAGATTCAGACGGAGAATATTTCTGAATTTTACTGTTTAAAGAAAACAAAAGGGAAGAGCTTTTAAGGAAAGTCTGAAACAATTTCAAGGAAAAGCTTTTAAAAATCTTCAATATAAGTAGTTATATTTTAACCATTCTGTATACAATAGACATCCTGGTAAGAAATGAAATCATTGCTTTTTCTAAGCCAAAGTTTCATTACATTCAACCTATATTTGTTTTTCTCTTATACAAATCTATTGCTGAAATAATTATTAACAATCAACTAAGCCCCCCCCAAATTCCAAATGTAATCCTTACAAGATGACCTATTATCCTTACCTATCAGAGAATCCACAGAGGTTCTTTAAATGCTGTTTCAGCATCAAAAGTAATAATATGCCTTGAGAAACATTTGCAAATTCAATTAATGGAGCTGAATTTTCTGGTAAACATTTCATCACAGCATTTATATCATTTTCTTCATCAGAATCTGAATCAGAGTTTACTCGTTTCCGTAACCTCCGAGGCTTAGAAGCTTCCTCCTCACTTTCACTACCACTGTTACTGTCACTCTCAGTCTCCTCGTCTGATGAAGGCTTTCTTTCCTTCTTTTTGTCTTTCACCATAGACTGCGAGACAGGGAAATTAGCACACATTCCAAAATTAGTGTAAGTAGCATCATGTACATTTCTAAAAAATCTTTCCAAAAATCCTTATTGACTTAAATTAGGAAGAATTCCCTGAACAATGTTATTAATTCATAACTTGATATTCAAAGATTAAAAGTATTTATGACAAAAAGATGCTGAATTATAACTTAAGTTCCCTGAAAAATTGATCCTCCCCTCCCCTCCCTCTCCCTCCCCTCCCCTCCTCCCTCCCCTCCCCTCCTCCCCTCCTCTCCTCTCCTCTCCTCTCTCTCCTCTCCTCTCCTCTCCTCTCCTCCCCTCTCCTCTCCTCCCCTCCCCTCCCTCCTCCCCCTCCCCTCCTCCTCCCCTCTCTCTCCCCTCCCCTGAACAGACCCAGCTCCCTCAGCCTTTCCTCATAAGAGAGATGATTTAGTCCCCTAATCATCTTTGTAACCCTCCACTGGACTCACTCCAGGAGCTCCATGTTTCTCTTATACTGAGGAGCCCATAACTACACACAGTACAAGAAACAAAGACCTTTTTCTTACAGGATTGTGTATTACCATAGCAACAGATACTATACCATTATTTGGGTTCTTATATGCTACCTTAATAAAAGACAAATTGTGCACTCTTTTCTTGCAATAAATAATGTATTTAAAGTCTCCCAGGTGACACACATGCAACTGCTATCAGATACTTGACAACAAAACAGAAAACAAATTGGATTTTTAAATTAAAATTATAAATGCAATTAATATTAATTCCAATTAATTCAGCAATATTAGGGAATTATATAGATTTAATATTAATATTAATAATTCTTTTTTAATAACATAAGCTGCAATGTAAGGAAAGTTTTTAATTAGTGTCTACCAGATATAGGTCAGAACTGAAAGGGTTGTTTGTTTTTAAACTACCAAATTAACATCTACTGGTCCATATCATAATAATGGTACTGTATTCCCTGAAAAATTGACCAAAATATATAGAAGCTTATGCTGTCACCATAATAAATAAATATAAATGCACATACCTCTTTAAATGACTGTAGTAGGTTACTACCAGAAACTGATAGTGTAATGTCTATATGATGCATTATAAACAGTGGCTCTTCCTGTGTTTGATAAGGAAAACAGGCTAGATTGTCTGCTATGTACAAGAGCATATTCACCTCTGTTTTCTGGAAGTTAAAAAAAAGTACATACAAATATACATAAAAATATCATAGATTTATACACTTAACCTGTGTTCCTAACAGTCTAAAATTAAAAAAAAGCATCACAAATTTTATTCTACATTTAAGCAACATTTATATATGCAAAATTTAGTCTAAAACCCCAAACCGAGTACAGAAAGGTATCGAATGATGCAAAAGTGACTAATGCATTCTATTAGGTAAATACCTTATATAATAAAGCAAAACAAAGTACCTTAGAGAAACAAAGTTATCAATAATTATGTCATAAAAATATATTGCAAAATATAATTGTATGTTTTATATTCTTTATAAGTGAAGGAAATGTGATGCTTACTGCAGTATCATCAAAGAGGTTGAGCAAAGAAATTAGAAATGCTCGTCTGTGTTGACGGTTCCCTCGAATCATGGAGTATAGGTGTGAACACAATGCACTGGATGACTCATCATGTCTAAAACCTCTTACAGGATCCTTTGGGCAGGTATTGATTGCCTGTTGTACCTGGTAAGACATCTTCATACCAGCCACTGCTTTCATCTGAAATGGAAAAATATATATTTATTTAAATCATTGCTTTCAAGCAGTAAAACTGAAAGTGGAAAATTAAAAAAATGCTTGTCAACAGAAAATTTGAGCGATTTTTTAATCTTATTTCCTTTTAAGTAGTTGCTCATCTGAAGTTTAACTTTCAAACATGCACTGAGGTGCACTACTACCTTTTGAGTTAGCAAGGAGATTAAAACAGAATTTGTGGCAGAGATCAAAATCTCTTGCAAACTACTGTCACCATAACTTCTATGTTAGAAACATATAGCTAATCTGTTTCCCCGCTACAGCCAGGCACAGCAATTTAAACAATTTTCAAGAATACTGAATCATAGATTAATCAGTTAGAAGGGATCCACAAGGATCATCAAGTCAAACTCCTGGCCCTGCACAGGACCATCTCCAAGAGTCACACCATGTGCCTGAGAGTATGATCAAAACGCTTCTTGAACTCTGTCAGGCTTGGTGCTGTGACCACTTTCCTAGGGAGCCTATTCCAGTACCCAATTACCCTCTGGGGGAAGAACCTTTTTCTAATATCCAACCTAAACCTCCCCTGACATAACTTCAGGCTATTCCCTCGGATTCTTTCACTGGTCCCCACAGAGAAGAGATCTCTGACTGCCCCTCCTCTTCCCCTCATGAGAAAGTTGTAGACTGCAATGAGGTCTCCCCTCAGTCTCCTCTTCTTCAGGTTGAACAGACCAAGTGACCTCAGTTGTTGCTCATACAGCTTCCCCTCAAGGCCCTTCACCATCTTCGTTGCCCTCCTTTGGACACTCTCTAATGGCTTAATATCTTTCTTATATTGTGGTGCCCAAAACTTCACACAATATTCAAGGTGAGGCTGCCCCAGTGCAGAGCAGAGAGGGACAATCCCCTCCCTCAACCAGCTGGCAATGCTGTGCCTGATGCCCCCCAGGACACTGTTGGCCCTCCTGGCTGCCAGGGCACTGCTGACTCATATTCAACTTGCTGTCAAACAGGACCCCCAGGTCCCTTTCCCGGCACTGTTTTCCACCATCTCATTTCCCAGTCTGTACGAACATCCACGGTTGCTCCATCATAGGTACAGAATCTGACACTTTCCCTTGTTGAACTTCATATGGTTGGTGATTGGCTAGCCCTCTAATTTGTCAAGGTCTCTCTGCAGGGCCTCTCTGCTCTTGAGGGGGTCGACACCTCCTCCCAATTTAGTGTCGTTGCCAAATTTACTTAATGTGCCTTTCAGTCATGCATCCAAGTCATTTATGAAGATGTTGAAGAGCAATGGGCCTAAGATGGAGCCCTGCAGAACACCACCTAGTGACAGGTCGCCAGTCTGATGTCACCCCATTCACTATTACCTTCTGCACTTGACCCATGAGCCAATTGCTCACACACCACCTGATGTCTTTATCCAGCTGTGGGATGGACAGTTTGTCCAGAAGGATCCTGGGATAGACAGGATCAAAAGATTTAATGAAATCCAAAAAGATTACGTCAATGACCTTCCCTTGATCAACTAGGTGGGGAACCTTGTCATAGAAGGGAATCAGGTTTGATAAGCAGGACTTTCCTCTCATGAAGCCGTTCTGGTTGTGATCAATGACTGTGTTGTCTTTGAGGTGCTTTTCAATACATCCCGGAACAATCTTCTCCATAACTTTATCAGGCACTGAAGTGAGACTGACAGGCCTGTAGTTTCCGGGGTCCTCCTTCTTGCCCTTCTTTAAAATTGGGACAGCATTAGCCAGCTTCCAGTCAGCTGGGACCTCTCCAGATTCCCAAGACTATTCAAAAATAATTGAGAGGGGTTTTGCGATGACATCAGTAGGTCTTTGAGAATTCTGGCATGAATCCCATCAGGCCCCATAGACCTATAGGGATCCAGCTGGAGCATCAGATCTTGCAGAAGTTCTAGGGCGACTGGGAGTTTATCATTGTCCCAGCCATGGTCCTCCAACTCAGAGGGGACCCCCTTAGCCTGTCATTGGTGTTGAAGACAAAAGCAAAGAAAGCATTAAAGACCTCTGCCTTGTCTCTGTCCCTGTTTGTGAGATGACCATCCATGAACAGGTACATGTTATTTCTGCACTGCCTTTTGCTACTGACATTTAAAGAAGCTCTTTTTATGGCCCCCCACAGTAGTGGGTTTAAGCACTGCTTGAAACTAAGCATCATGCAGCCGCATATGATCTGTCATATGGTCTGGAATATCCCTTGGATCAGCTGGGGGTCACCTGTCCTGGATGTCTCCCCTCCCAACCTCCCATGTGCCCCCAGCCCCCTCCCCTGCAGGGCCGTATGAGGAGCAGAAAAGACCTTGGCTCTGTGTAAGCCCTGCTGAGCAATAACAAAAACATCTCTATATTATAATCAACCCTGTGTTCAGCACAAATCCAAACAACGCCCCACACCAGCCACTGGGAAGGAAATTAACTCTACCCCAGCCAAACCAGCACAACTGCCCAGCTCCAACTCAAATTGAGCTTTGGCTGCACAAATTTCCTCCCTACAGTGAGTAGCAGCATCTCTGTATTCTTCCCATGTCACCTGACCTTGCTTCCACTGGCCATACACCTTCCTTTTTTGCCTTAAGTCCAAAAGAATCATATAATCATAGAATATGCCAAGTTGGAAGGGACCCACAAGGATCATCATGTCCAACTCTTAGCCCTGCACAGGATCATCCCCAAGAGTCACACCATGTGCCTGAGAGTATTGTCCAAATGCTTCTTGAACTCTGTCAGGCTTGGTTCAGCCAAGTTGGCCTTCTGCCTTGCCTGCTTGACTTCTGACATTTAGGAAGTGCTGCTCCTGTGCTCTTAGGAGGTGGTGCTTAAAAAGTGACCAGCACTGATGGACTCCAGTACCTTCAAAAGTTTTTCCCAGGGGACCTCACTCACTAGTTCCCTGAGCAACCTAAAGTCTGGTCTCCTCATATCCAGGGTTGCTGGCACTTTTCCTCCTGCCAACAGAGATTTTAAACTCAATCACTTTGCAGTCTCTGTGGCCAAGATGTCCTCCAATCCCCATTTTATTCATGAGACCCTTTCTGTTAATAAGCAACAAATTAAGGAGGGCACCTTTCCTAGTTGGCTTCCTTATTACCTGTACCATGAAGTTATCACCCTGGTGTTTTAGCAGTCTTCTGGACCTGTTTGTGCCAGCTGTGTGGCATTCCCAGTTAACATCCAGCAAGTTGAAGTCCCCCGTAAGGACAAGGGCGGTTGATTTGGAAGTGTCCCTTACTTCCTCAAAGAATAATTCATTGGTGTCATTGTTCTGGCTGGGAGGTCGATAGCAGACTCCCATGGTGACATCTGCATTATTTGTTTGTCCCTTAATCCTTACCCAGAGGCTTTCAGCCATGCCATTCCCAACTGTAAGCTCCATACATTCCAGTCCCTCCATTGCATACAACGCCGCTGAAATACTGAAATGTATTCATACATTAACAGAAAATTTTACCAAATGTGTATGCTTCATGTCGCTTGTAGTGAAGCCAACAACTGAGTCCATATTGGTACAATAGGACTGACAAACAGAAAATGAGTTTTTTTAACATATATCCTGTAATTTCCAGCTGATTTTACTTACTTCAAGGCTCCTGGTCTAGTTTCAGAACAATCTCTATCTAGGCTGTATATCCAACTCTCCTCATACAATTTCTGCTTCTGTTCAGCATAGTTGTCTTTTCATCTATACATTGTCTTAAATCCTAGCTGCCTACATAGCAAATTTCATCTGCTAGTCTTCACCTACTGAATTAGGTATCTATTTGGATGCCATGAACATTGCAATGCTCCGGTTTCAGTGGAATGCAATCAGATTTGGAAAGCCCCACAATGTAGTTTTCACACTGAACCAAGACTGGGGCCTTCTGAAATAAGGAAGGGGTGCTGCAGTTGAATTTCAGATCTTTACAGAACAATTGGCACTATGCCACAACTCCACAAGTCCTCACTTAGCCCTCAGATTTTTCTTTCAGCAAGATCCCTCAGTTCTTAACACCTTTCTATGCTCCTTCTGCTTAGATTACAATTTATAAAGCATTGATGCCTTAACATTCTAATACATATACACTAAAGACCTCTACATTTACAAATGCTCTCTACCAATACAGGAAAATCATTGCTAAACATTATGAAACAGTTGTCCTTACTTCTTATCAAATAAATGCTCTTAACATACTATTCAGTGAGGAAAACACTACTGTGAATTATAAATTAAAGGAATTTTTAGACTGGAAGAGATGCTTCAAATGATTATATTCTTTCTATTTCTAAGAACAGAAATCTCCGAACAGGGGAAAGAGTTGGGATCTTCTTTACAACTGCTTATAGTTATTGTCATTGTTTATTTGTTATTTATATTATTTTTCTGCAGCTGAGGCCTATTCGAGTGTTGTCACCAAAGAATGTAACAGTATTTTGTAAAATGATAAATTAGAATTACTTACGTGAATGAACCCAGCATATTTTTTGTCTATTTCCACCAATTGCTGGTCGGCTTTGTTTCGCATAGAGGGCTCTGGATCTGTGCCCATAGCAATTAAGTATGGCACACACTTGAAAAAAACCCAAATGAAATGATTATTCAGAGTAATTGTACCTCTTCTTTCTCACTCTTTGTTCTTCTATTAGTGTTATTCATGTTATATTCTGACTACTGCAGAAACTAGAATAAGAAACTTTATGCAACTTACTACCTGATTACTTTTTTCAAGCAAATAGGACAAAATACACAAAAGACCAGCATTATCATATAATGGTTCGAGTTGGATGGGACCTTAAAGACCATCTAGTTTCAACCACCCTGCCATGAGCAGGGACACCTTCCACTAAACTAGGTTGCTCCAAGCCCCATCCAACCCGGCCTTGGACACTTGCAGGGATGGAGCAGCCACAGATTCTCTGGACAACCTGTGCCAGGGCCTCACCACCCTCAGAGGGAAGAATTTGTTCCTAATATCTAATCTAAACTTGCTCTCTTTCAGTTTGAATCCATCCCCCTTCGTCCTTTCACTACATGCTCTTGTAAAAAGTCCCATGGTTCATGTCCAGCCTCTCATCCAGCAGCACTCCCAAGTCCTTCTCCCCAGGGCTGCTCTCAATCTGTTCATCCCCTAGCCTGGATTGATACTAGGGGTTGCCCTGACCCAGGTGCAGCACCTTGAACTTGGTCTTGTTAAATCTCATAAGATTTCTATCGGGTCACTTCTTGAGCTTGTCCAGGTCCCTCTGGATGGCATCCCATCCTTCAGGAGTGTCAACCACACCACTCAGCTTGGTGTCATCTGCAAAATTGCTGAGGCTGCACTCGATCCCTTCATCTATGTCATTAATGGTGCTATTAAATAACACTGGTCCCAATAGGGACCCCTGAGGGACACCACTGGTCACTGATGTCCACTAAGACTCTGAGTCATTTTAAATTATAAAAGTTGTGTGAGGTTTCAGGTAGTATTTCCATTTCTCTCAAACTCTAAGGTCAATTTACACTACAAAAAATGCCTTTAAAAAAAAAAACCACACTACCAATTATGACTGAACATGCACAAAGGCTGTGTTATAAACAAATAATTACAAAAATATTATGTAAGCAAAGAATAATGGAGATGATAACTGAAGTTCTGACATTGACTCTGTAATTCCATAGTGTTTGGAGGACACGGGGGGATTGAGGTGGAGGCAAGTTGCCACAGTTTTCAGGGTAAAGAATTAAATAAGGAAAACAGCTTGGCATGCACCTGAAATTTATAACAGAAATATGCTCCACAGTACATTTTTAAGTGCTTTTTAGGCACTGGCTGGGCTTTTAGATCTTGATTACAAAGAGAAGAAAATACAGCATTTGGAATCTAAATTTCAAAATATGCTTTCTGTAAAGGCCCCTTGCTACAATAAGAGATTACTGTAACGTAACTGCAAGAGAAAAACTAGAAACGTATCTAGCAAGTGTAAAAACCTCTGAAACCCGAATAACAAAAATCCCCATCATAAAAACTTACCATACCTGAACAGGATGGATGAGACCCTGGTTTAATGTCAGTGCAATGACATTTAGAGCAAAGTGGCGTACACTGGACTGGGTATGAAAGAAAGCCTCAAGGACCTGTTTGAGATATAGCTGCATGATGGAACTACTCATCCCTGAGGAAATATCACCCATTTCCTTCAGGTCTTCCTGCTTTGCTACTTTTTTCCCTGTAAAAAGGAAAAAAAGCAATAGCACACACAACAGTATAGTCATTTACTTTACTATTACTTGATGCATGCTGATCTTTAAGCTTTACAATACATAGACATTTCAGTTGTCTTAGAATGGGTTTACGATCTCATGAAACATAGAACAGTCTGATGGCAAATATACTTAAAAAAACTAAAGACACATGACTTTGAAGACTTGTTCCTCAATAAAGGTTTTAATTTTAAAAATTTCTTATATTTTATCTGCAAATTAACCTTACAGAAGATTTTGATAAAAAGTATTACTACCATCATTACATCAATTATGCATTCTGGATTGCTTTCAGGATTTATACATCCTGAAGGTAAATAATAAGCTACAATTCTCAATATACCTATGCACACAATGAATTTTTGAAAATTAAACTAAGATATCTTGCATACAATATTAATTAATTAGATAACAATCTCAAGTGACTCAGTTCATGTATATAGTAATTGTAAAATTTAGGTTTTGCATGCCTCAGCACAGAAGAACTCAACACTTACAATCTCTGTCTGCTTGCTGCATACGTGTATCCTCCTCCTGCAAGTAGGTCTGGAGGTTTTTTAACACCTGAATTTTTAAGTTTACTGAACAGTTCTTATCTGAAAGAATGCTGTTGTACAGAGTCTTCACTTCCTGTTCGAACATTAAACTTGGGTGTTGTATAAATGCAAATCCTAAGGGTGAAAGAAAAGAGGAAATATTCCATGTTACTAACTAGAAATTGTATTTCTGCTTCTTAAATATTTCTTCAAGATAGAGGTATGAAATTTATCTCCTCACAAGTGTAGTATTAACAAAACAGTATTGCTTTTTCATATGGACACCATTCTAATTTTATAAGGAGTTCTATTACCCATGACTGTCTGATAGATAAAGATGGGGTGCTGACCCAGGGCAGTTGAACTAAGAAGAGTCATATAGGTTTGGAAGCATGTCCAGTGTACTGGTCTGCCTCTAAACAACTAGGAGGTCTCCCAAGGGCAAGGGAGGAACATTGCTAAAAATTACTCATTGTTTTTCTAATAAATTTGGAGAAAAACATTCTGTTGAAATTGTGAATAGTTATTCATATGGAGGCAGAGCAAATGTGGAAAAGTTGCCAAATATTTATACATGAGTATTTAAACAATAAAATCTTAACAGAAAAAATATACTGAACACAATAAAATAAAATTTATACCTCTCACTGTTATTATTCATATAACTATTAAGGTCTTATCTTGAAAATTATCTGAAGCACTCCCAAGACTACACCTGTTGGAAGATGCACACTGTAGAACTGTTTTTAGCTGCAGCCTTACCCTTGAAAAAGAACTGGTTATTCTTAGTCAGGGAAGTCTTTATTTCATAAAAACTTTGATCTAAATTAGTCTTAGCATATATAATTTTAGATCACATATCTAGATTTAGAACTACTGCCAACAGACCCTTACAGAGTATCATAAAAAAACAGTAATGGGAACATAACTTCCCAATCTAAACTATGTTTAACTGCTTGATTAATTTTTTAAGACTATAAGAAAAGCAAACATTAAGTGTATTTTTCACGACCATAGGAAACTAAGATTCTGAATGAACACACAGAAAACATATAAACATAAAAGAAGAATGAGGGGAAAAACGAAAGCAAAATTATGTGAAAGCAATGTATAAAAGTGGGTCTAACAAAGGGAAGACTGTGTCAGGTTTTTAAAACTGGCTCTATGCACTCAGAAAAGGCAGTGTAGGTAAAGGCTAAGTCTAGGGCAAGACCTCAGTGTGTTTAAGATCTCATTTCAATTTCAAAACAGGAAGAGGAAAGAAGGCATGGGAGATGGAGGGGAAAAGAGGTGAAAGAAAAAGGAACGATGCTCCTCTTTGAAGTATGTAGCATAACTGTCCACTCTATACAGTTGTCATCATGGTTAGGCTTCATGAATGAAGATTTGAGAAGGACTCTACCCACGCTTGCTGCAAGTGCGCTGATGGCTAAAAAGGCCAATGCGAGATAGACAAGTCTGGTTGCAGAAGGCACAATGGAAAGTCTCCTTAGGTGGTATCGGCAAGACATGGTTCTTTCTGCGTTGTCTTTTCTCCTCAAGAATGATTCTACATGTGTTCTCAAAAGAAGCAGAAGCATTATAGTGTGTTTCCATGTCTCCCAACTGGAGGTCAGAGTAGACCAATAATGATGATCAATATGGCCAAGGTTGAGATATTGTTTCAGGGAGTCCTTGTATCTCCTCTTTGGGGTTCCTCTCTTGCGGCAACCAGTGGCAAGTTTGCCATAGAGCACAATCTTAGGGAGGTGGTAGTCCTTCATCTTGGAGATGTGCCCTGCCCAACGCAGCTGTGTATATTGATGTTTATAACCTGACCACCTCCAAGAAAGTCCAACCCATTTCTTAAGTTTAATTTTGAAAATGAAAAGCACTTGCATGTATGTCCATAACTTTTTCTTTCTTTCATTAGCTTATTTAAAAGAGTCTAAAACCACCAATATTCTTAGGGAAATTCTTATTTTTCCATCCTATGTAAGTGGGGAAGAAATCTTACTTGGCATAAGAATTTGTCATAGGGGATAAAAAAAGCCAACTGCTGTGTTCTTTTAAGGACTGACTTAACATCTTGGGGCTGCTCTCATACCACTTCTCTTCATACTTTTGTTTTTACTCTGTTAAGGGTAAGCACTGAACTTGGCTAAGACATTACCTGTTAGATACTAACAAAATCTTTTATCCTCAATCTGCCTTGCAAGTACACATCTGGAAGAGAAGCATAACCATAACCATTAAGCTTATGGTTAAGCTCAGTCCCTTAACAGCAGTGACACATTCCAAAGTAAGGGCTAAAACTGTTGAGTGTCCTTACTGTAAAGACACAGTAATAATTACCAATAGGAAAGCATACACTCTTCACTTGATTCCTTCACTATATATAAATGTTGGGTTAGCTTTTTAGTCATTTTCACCTTATTGCTGGACATAAATGTTGAATGGATCTGACAACTTGGTTCACTCACCAGCCTATAAGGTAGAACTTTGCACTGCCTACTACATCTCTGTCATCCAAGCAGCTACCCTCAAAATGGAACCAGTACTTAGATGAGACTAATATATCACTGAAAACAGTTGTCTTTGGTTTAATTAAAGACTGACATGTTTACAGGCAGAGAAAAAAACATAAATCTAAAAAATGCCTACTGATAGACACCTGTTTTCTCTTCTTCCACAAACTGATCACAGTTCAGTCTGTAATTCAGAAACATTTCAGATGAATGCAACACTCAGTCTCCATGAGTAAAGCAATCATGTCTATGGTTAGGAAGACAGCCCCTATCCCATGTGCAATATTTTGTATAGAACAATTAAATTAGAATGGACTACAGTAAGTGTTGTGCATCTTGATGCAATGTCTAGAAAAACCTCCAGCTAGTCCTGAACAACATAGCATTGTTCCTGCAACAGAGGCAACTCTAAAGCCATTAATCCCACTCAGCTATCTGAAATGGTTTCCTCACAGAATATCAAATCAAGATTCAGTCTCAGTCCTTATCCTTAGTCTTCTCTAACCTGAACTGAAGCAGGATATCTAAAAAGCCACCTAAACAGCAGCATAAGGAGGAAAATTCTTATACACAGTAAAACCATACGGTGCAAGTCCACATGCATAGGAAACAACTTTCTTTAGACTAAGCCATAAACATGAACTGAACTCTTTCAGAAATCAAAGCCTATCTGCCCAAACAAGATGCTCTTACATGTACAGTTTTGGTCCTTGAGCAAAGGATGAACATGATACAGACCACTCAATGACAGTTCATGCATTACTGCAAGTCACTGAGATATCATACTAATGCCTTCAGATAAAGAATTCATTTAACATTGAAATACTGCCAAAGACCCCAAATAAACTATAATATTTAGACTATGACATGATCGCAATGCCTCATGAAATTTCACAGACCATCCCTCAGTTGGTATAAACTGTCAGTTACCTGTACTCCTGAAGAATATCTGCCCCTACACTGCAGAATATACCAAGTTGGAAGGAACCCACAAGGGTCATCAAGCCCAACCCTTAGCCCTGCACAGGACCATCTCCAAGAGTCACACCATGTGCCTGAGAGTATGATCAAAACGCTTCTTGAACTCTGTCAGGCTTGGTGCTGTGACCACTTTCCTAGGGAGCCTATTCCAGTACCCAATTACCCTCTGGGGGAAGAACCTTTTTCTAATATCCAACCTAAACCTCCCCTGACATAACTTCAGGCTATTCCCTCGGATTCTTTCACTGGTCCCCACAGAGAAGAGATCTCTGACTGCCCCTCCTCTTCCCCTCATGAGAAAGTTGTAGACTGCAATGAGGTCTCCCCTCAGTCTCCTCTTCTTCAGGTTGAACAGACCAAGTGACCTCAGTTGTTGCTCATACAGCTTCCCCTCAAGGCCCTTCACCATCTTCGTTGCCCTCCTTTGGACACTCTCTAATGGCTTAATATCTTTCTTATATTGTGGTGCCCAAAACTTCACACAATATTCAAGGTGAGGCTGCCCCAGTGCAGAGCAGAGAGGGACAATCCCCTCCCTCAACCAGCTGGCAATGCTGTGCCTGATGCCCCCCAGGACACTGCATCCAAGTCATTTATGAAGATGTTGAAGAGCAATGGGTCTAAGATGGAGCCCTGCAGAACACCACCTAGTGACAGGTCGCCAGTCTGATGTCACCCCATTCACTATTACCTTCTGCACTTGACCCATGAGCCAATTGCTCACACACCACCTGATGTCTTTATCCAGCTGTGGGATGGACAGTTTGTCCAGAAGGATCCTGGGATAGACAGGATCAAAAGATTTAATGAAATCCAAAAAGATTACGTCAATGACCTTCCCTTGATCAACTAGGTGGGGAACCTTGTCATAGAAGGGAATCAGGTTTGATAAGCAGGACTTTCCTCTCATGAAGCCGTTCTGGTTGTGATCAATGACTGTGTTGTCTTTGAGGTGCTTTTCAATACATCCTGGAACAATCTTCTCCATAACTTTATCAAGCACTGAAGTGAGACTGACAGGCCTGTAGTTTCCGGGGTCCTCCTTCTTGCCCTTCTTTAAAATTGGGACAGTATTAGCCAGCTTCCAGTCAGCTGGGACCTCTCCAGATTCCCAAGACTATTCAAAAATAATTGAGAGAGGTTTTGCGATGACATCAGCAGGTCTTTGAGAATTCTGGCATGAATCCCATCAGGTACCAAAGAATTTTAGGCATCCAGCTGTAGCAGTAGATCCCACACAGCTTCAGGGTTGCCTAGGAGTTGATCATTCCTGCAAGTCATGGTCGTCCAGGTCAGGGCACTGATATCCCCTTGGTCCATCATCCATGTTGAAGACAGAGGTTAAAGACCTCTGCCTTGTCTCTGTCCCTGTTTT